AAACACGAAGATGGAACCTGTGACTGAGCCCCCGATCGTAGCCGCGCCTGAGAGTAATTTTAGCACAGTTAAGGAAGATAAAAATGCATCCAAACCTGTACATCTGGTTCGTCGACTTGGTCTGGCAGAATGTGTATCTATAACAGTTGGAACTGTTATAGGTTCTGGAATATTTATTTCTCCTCAAGGGACACTACTGAATACTGGTAGTCTGGGTGCATCTATGATTGTGTGGGCTCTGTGTGGTGTTCTATCGACTTTAGGTGCATTGAGCTACGGAGAGCTTGGCACTACGTTCACTAAATCTGGTGGAGATTACACATACCTTTTGGAGTCGTACGGACCTATGGTTGCCTTTTTACGTATCTGGACGTTTTTTGTGGCAGTTCGAACGGGATCAGTAGCCGTTGTGACTTTGACTGCCGCAACCTACCTTCAAAAAATATTTATACAAGATTGCCAAGATTTGCCCTATATATCAGTACGACTTTTTGCTGCAGTCATTATAGGTACGTTGACAATTCTCTTGATAGGCATGACAGTTGTCTTTTATTATTTATTACTATTATTATAATTATAAGCAGAGGTTTAGGTGTAGCCAATACATTATGTTTTCTACTGTGAGTGATTTTTTTTTCTTCAATTGTAGTTATAATTTTCTACCTGAATTGTGTCAGCGTTCCTTGGACAGCTCGTGTTCAGGTGATTCTAACTGTTGCAAAAGTTCTCGGAATAGTACTGATTATAATTACTGGCTTCGTTATTATTTGTAAAGGTAATATTTATACTTTCAGTAGTAGGCCCGTATGTTTTCAATAAAGACTAAAACTATTTGTAAAAGGTATAAGGATGTTCGAATTAAATTTGTCACAGTTTATTTTGTGTATTTTCATTTCATATATATCGTCATTTTAGCATCTCATTTTTAATAGGATACCGACAGTGGATGAGAAGTACTTGTATCGCGACTGACTCTGAAAAAACCATAAAACCATGACGATTGTCATCAATAACGAAAGGATAGGGCCGGAAGAAGCCTTAAC